GCGCCGTGTCAGCGGCGACGGGTCGGACTGGGTGCGCTCGCCCTGATGCCTACTGGCCGCGGGGGGCAGCACAGATCGCCCCGCTTCAAGGAAGTTGGAGGAGCGTTCTCGCTTCCCCCCAGCCGGCGCACGATCGACCAGTGGATCCAACGGGTTCCTGAAGTCTGCGATGAGTACAACGTCACTGGCCCACTTAGAGGGGGCGTCCGGCTTCCTTTCACCGTCTCCTCCGCTTCTTTCCACCCGAGACTCCTCACATGGCTGATTACCCTTCCGGTCCGCCAGCATAGCTATCCGCCACTTCCGCTCTGGACCCCCCCTCATTATGGCCGCCCGCTTCCGCTAGTTATCCCTCACTGAAGTCCCGCAGCTCCACGCTTGTCCTTGCCCGCCTGCATCCACTCGTTCAGGAGCCCCGCCGGCTCCTGGCCCATCCAGTTGCTCTAGCGAGCACCCGAGAACCGGTAACGGTGGTTCAAACCATCGGGGGCGGGGGCAGTTTTAGCTCTGGGACGTCGCCTGCCAAAGAGCTACGGTTCTTTTGCCTGCACTGCAGACTTCGTGGATGCGTCCGGCGCGTCCGGCGCCAGCTTGCCCTCCCGCGGTCCGGGGAAGTTAGTCAAAAAAGCTCTAGCCTGGCTGTACTCCTGGGCTAGAGTGGGTGGGGCCCGCACGCGCTGCGGGGTTCTTTTAAAAGGCGGCGCGGTTCTTTTTCCGCGGATGCCAGTTCTGTCGTTTGTGTTGTTGAATTGTTTTACGTTGCACCCTGCGCAGAGTCGCAATGGGTGGGTGGCCTTCTACACGAAATAACTAAGTAAATACGCGTTTGGTAAATACATAAATATAATTAGGGGCTCGGGTTAGCACTGCAACTGAAAAGCCGAAAGATCAAGAGCTATTCAAAAGGACAGTCATTTGCATATGCGAAAGCAACTAGCCGTAACCTAGTTCCTTTTGAGTAGCTGTTTTTTCTTATAAATTTTTATTGCTTTTGAATTAATAACAAAAAGAGAGAAAAAGAACAACAAAACAAAACAAAAAAATAATACACTATCAAGAAGGAAAAAAAACATTAAAAAGCGCTATTACAAAAAAATGACAAAAATACAACAAAGGGAAAAAAAAACTTAGCATGGTATTCTGTTATAACAGTAAATAGTTACAAATCTATATCTATTTATCTAACGCAAACATTATTCAGGTGCATATATATTTCCAATACATTTATGTAACTATCATTTTTTTTTAACCTCCTGTATTTTGTATAAATGAGTCCCATATTTCATTATACTTGTCCATACAAAATCTGTGTCTAGGCAATCCACTCACAGGTGCCAAGCGCAATCAGGTCTTCAATCCATTGAGCGAATGGGGCCGTACGTTTATCTTTCCAATGCTGCAATATCAGCCTTTTGGCCATAGTAAGGGCACGGAGAATCCATTTATGTTGTCCAGTTGTCAAATTCCATGTACTAGGTATATAGTTCAAAAGAATATTATCCTCTGAAAATTTTAGGGTTACAGTTAGGGTGGGGGTGAGGGTTGGGGTTGGGTTGGGGTTAGGGTTTAGGGTTTAGAGTTAGGGGGTTGGGGGTTAAGGGGTGAGGGTTAGGGGGTTAGGGTTAGGGGTTGAGGTTGGGTAATCACACCTTTTTTTTAGGTAATCACACCTTTTTTTTTATTGAAAAATAATCCGTTCTACAAAACCCGCACCTCCCCTATGCGGGAGGCCAGACAACAAACCAAACAAAAACAAAAAGAAACAAAACTCCCCACCACCCACACGCCGCCCCTCCAGCACCCGCCCTGAGCGGAACAGCAAGAGGTCACCCTCCACCCCCAAGTGGCCCCCAAAGACCACAAAACAGGCTGATGCCACAGCCCGAACATGCACGCATCCTCACCTGTGCCCCTCCCAAAGCCCCACCCAGCTACCTGTCCGCCACCGAACCCCCCCCAGGAGCACCTAAGGGCGCCTGGGGAGGAGGAGGAGGAGGAGAAGGAAGGAACAAATGGAGGGGCAACCAGTCCACGTGGCAGTGACTAACAGTCCGCCGCACCAGTCTTTTGGAAGCCAAAGTGCAGTCCACAGAGAGCCGCTGCTGCAACCGGTCCCACATCGCAGTCCAACTCCCTGCCACCGGGCTCCTCATGTGATGGGTGGGTTGGCTGCAGCCGACTTCCACGGCCAAAAGCGCCGCCATCGCTTAGCTGGCCACGATCCCGCTCCGCGGCACATAGAACGTCCTTGGCCGCGCGAGTCACTGACCAGTCCAGAGAGGCGCTGCCGCACTGCCACTCCCGGGGCAACTCCTGCCGCTGCTCCGCCACGAGCACCACCAGCACCACATAGTTCATGAGGTGCATGGTGCTCCACAGAATGGCCCAGAAGGCTGGGGCTCCACCGCCATCGCTGCCGCCGCCGCCGTCTCCACCTCCACCAGCATCCACATCCATCCGAGGGTGGGTGCAGACCTCTCTTGCCAGCGCCATCTCCTCCAACTCCGCAGTCCGTCTAGCCGCGGCACCTCAGTCCTCTTTCCACCACAGCTGCCGATTACCCTGCTGTAGCTGCTGCCTCCATGGCTCCTGCCATCTCCTCCGTGCCTCCTGTGCCTTGGCAGGCTATGCCGCCTCCGAAACACTCTTCCTCCTCCCCCCCGGAGGGACGCCATCCCTGCTGGGGAATTTATTTTAAATTTTTTATTTAAAATACCCTCCTGCAAAGTCCTAAAAATGGGCGGCCGGGCTCATCGAAATATACAATAAATAAACTGAAACCAAAAGCACTTCCGTCCAGAGAAACAACTATCTGCAGTTGCTGCAGAAGCAGTCTATATGCTCAGGCCGCACCGCTGACCAGCGCTATGTGATTGGCGCTGATGTGGGTGCCCATTCCTTCCACGGCCAGAGCCGCTGCCAGTGCTCCTCCGGCATCTGACCCCGCTCCACCTTGCGGATCCATGCGGCCCAGTCCACGATCCGCTCCGCCTCCCAGTCTGGCCAGTCCTCCAGAAGTGCTCCGCTACCCCGTTCCACCCGCAGGGGTTGATGCCAAAGCTGGCACAGCGCGTGGAGGGTGTAGAGGAGGTGGCGGAGTGTGGACCAGGGCAGCTCCAAGAGCTGTCGCCGCCGTGTCGCCACCAGTCCTGCCATCTGGCCTGCCAGGGACGCTGCGCCCATGCCGCTGTCACCACCGCCCTCGCTGTCGCCATCGCTGCTGTTGCTGCTTCCGTCGTTGCCGCCATCCGCAGCTTGCTGAGATGCGCCCGCCGCACCTACAGAGGAGGGGGAGGAGTAAGGGAAGGGAGGGAGAGGGGCCAGACACTGCCTTACTGGCACCCTGTCAGAAGCCAGACGCTGCCTCACCCCCGCCATCTGACAGGGCCCCTGACGGGCCACCTGAGCCCGCCCTGGGCTGCGGAGAGGGCCACTTAGCGCCCGCCTCTTCTGTTTCCTCCAGCGGCTCCTGGCCCGCCCTTGCCCTTGT